AAGCGAAAGCGATCCCGTGGCGTCCCACACAATGGCCAGGAGGGAACGAAGGGGTTTAGTGAGGTATGCCCCCCACTATGGGGGGAGAGTATCTGCCCAAAGGCATGGAGTATGCAGAAAGCATTCCCCTGCGGAAAAAAAAAAAAGATTAGGCGTCTTACGGCCGAATCCTGAAACGATCAATTCATTTCGTAAGCACCGCTTTCAATCTGACATCAAATGAGAAGTTATCGTAAATGTAGACAGTTAGATTTTGAAATGTCTTCTCGGTATTCGGCCGTTACTTAAACAATAAAATGTCCTCTGAAATCAGACTAACGAATGTGGTGTATTCAACAATTTTCTCCGTAATTTATTTTTTTCTAAATTACGAATAAGAAAAGGATTTTCATTATTTTAGGAGCTTTTATTTAGTCAGTTTTAGTCTGAGAAAATAATCATAATTATTAATGTAACACGAGAGTACTCATTGGGTAATTGGCTAACCGAGGTTAACAGGAAAATGCTCTTAGAAAACTCATTACGTATTTCCGAACGTGTAAGCAAAATGAGAGAAAGGTTCACACTTAGCCAGAACAGTTAGACAGGTTCGCTGGCACGTAGTAGATTGTAGAGACTAAATATTCCCAGTTACCGTTCAAACAGTGCTAGTTGAATGTCAGTCCAGTGATTGAAAGCTTCTGACCAACTGTTTTGGCCAGGTGTGAACCACGCAATAAACATTAATTTCACTTGGTTGTGCCATTTTGTATTGTAGTGTCGGCCGTGCCGGTGGATATTGACCTGGCCAGCTGTGCCAGTTACACAAAGTCAGTGTCTTAGGACTATCCGCTGGTAGCCGCTTGTTGAAATTTCCCTTATTTTCAGTAGTGACAACATTATTACGGTTTATTATTTAAAAATAACGACATCTATGTTGAGACATTGGCTTTACTTCTTTTGGTGATTGAAGAATGTTATATGAAAGATACAAGATGGCGCTTATTTAAAAAAAGGATATTTGTAAACCTCCGATTACAGGAAAATTGTCGTAGAATTTTACAAAAAAAATAGTATAAGATGATGTGTTTTAAATAATCATTTATTGTTTAACTTTTTTTAATTTGTCAAAGTATAATTTGGAACTGTGATTATGTGTGAATGAAGTTTTTTTTTTCCAAAAACATAAAGAATTCACTGATTTTGATATCAGCGTAGGGGTAAATTTTAAAAATGTCAATCATTAAAGATATAACTGTATTTTCTTTTATTGTTTTTATTTCAGATAATCATACTTCATACTAATATTATAAATGTGAAAGTTTAGATGGATGGATGGATGGATGGATGGATGGATAGATGTTTGTTAGAGTTTGTAGCCTAAACAGCTGGACGGATCTCAATGAAATTTGGCATACATGTAGAGGATAGTCTGGAAGAACACATAGGCTACTTGGTTTTGTTTTTTTCAATACCACGGGAACGGAGTCGCGGGCGAAAGCTAGTGCTTAAATAAAACACAACATATTTTTTCAAGTACTTTATTTTATCATCCATTTCAAACTACACTGTCAAAAAAATCATTATCATCGATTATAACTACAGTAAGCTATAACTTTTATCTAATCTTTGATCCGAATGTGTGAAATATAGAAAAATTTTGACACATTATTCTTTTGTATTCCAACGCAAAATGTATTAACATTCTACAACTATTCGTTCGCTACCTTAAGTATTATGCTTAAATGAGCCGACACGTCGCTACATACATAAATGATCCCACTAAGCCGACACTAAACTCACACTATCGAAACATTAGCCTAATAACAAATAAATTATAACACGACTAAATTCACGTGACAACCTTCGGGGGTTCTGGGACTGATCGGTACCTACACTAAAAGTTGTCACGTGAGTTTAACCGTGTTATAAATTACATCATCTCACGAAAGTTTTAATAAGTTAACAAATAAATTATTAGAAATTAGTTACATGCTTGCAGAAGCTGCATTACGGTGGTTTAGTAATACAACATACATTAAAACATTCTTACAACTTTATTATCTATTGTTAATAACTACTCTATACCTAAGTATAAAATAAAAACACTATTAATTAATAAGTCTCAAACAATGCATGTTAGTTTAAAAATCAGGTACAAATTAATAAAAACACAAGTGAAAGGTAACTCAAATTATCTAGGAAGTTCTTTGAGATCAATCTTTACCAAATTTATTATTTTAATATTACATATAGTACTATTAATAATATAAATAATAAAATATGGTTCATCTACAACCTGACTGTTTACAGCAATATAAGATACTGAAACATTTTCGACAAGAAGCTTCAGGCTAAATGGGTATTTCCAAGCGACTAGCCACGCGGTTTGGATTTTTATGACAACCTCAACTGCGTCAGTGGAAATAATGTTAAATAATTCCATAGTTCGAGCCGCTAAGATTAAATTGATACAATTTGATCCACAATCTTCATGTTTCAAGATCTTACAACAGCTTCGCTCGTACTATATATTTTAACTCAGTATGTAATAAATATATACACAGAATCACTATATTTTTGGCTTCGCTATTAACAAACTAAATCACAGAAATAACTACAAAAGAATACCTTCTAAAGCTTAGCGCACACTACGATGTTTACGCTTATTTCTCACCGAAATCGCGAATTAAGTTCCATTGGCATTTATCCCAAAATGGTGTTTGAATATCATAGTGCACACTAAGCCTAACCTAAACTAATCATACGTTCCTGGTGGCGTTATGCGCATAAATATTTTTTTACTTTCCCCAAATAACTAAGTGCATACATAAACACTAACGTTAACCTAAATCCTAACATTTCGATCGGATTACTACTTAAACCTAAAATAACAAAAAATATAAACAAGTCAATGTGAATGTTACATAACACGTGCGATTTGTTACAAAAATGATCTTAATTACGTGCTGCCGTTTATATAAAACTGTCTAATCCAGGCTAATCTGACCGTGGAATTCCACTGCGTTAACACATTTAAAGGTATTGGCTTTATATATATTCAAGTGTATCAAAAGTGAAAACCCACAGTAGATTCTATTCCAAGAACCATTTTGAATAAAGAATTCGATGACGGTAACAAAATGGCGGATTGATTTTGACATTAAAATCCGCCATTTTTGACCGACTCCCCAAAAGGAGGTACTCAATTCGTCTGTATGTTTTGTGTTTTTTGTATAGATGTATAAGATTAGATGATTTCAATATTTGAACATTGTATTAGTTATTTTTTATCATTTACATGTTATTCTACACAGTATAAATGCTGTTAATCTGTTTACAATTTGGTTTTTATAACAATACAGAGTTTAGTTTTCGTTTTTTTTTACATTTATCGATATATATGTCACTTTATATAGATACACTGTAAATATGTTTAATAATAGAGCAATTACATCAAATGTAGCGTAACCTAACACTTTTTATTAATATTCTGTAAGTTGAGTCACCATTTCGTAAAACAATCGATAAGTTTCCGTAGCGAGGTCGCTTATCGGACATAGCAACTATGAATCATGCGGTTATATTCGTACAATGTTACCGTTTATAGTATTTCACTACACCCTAGCGACGTTTAATTTCATGAAAATATACACACGTCTATTATAACAAAGGATTATGAAATAAAAATATTCAAGAACATACGGCATTTTTTTTATTAATCTTTGACTTTTAATAAGTTAAATAATTTTTAGAAACTAGAGGAGGGGCCAAGCAACAGTAGCCGCGGAAACTGCAGATGCATTGATATAATTTTTAAAAATCTGCTTTAGACTATTTGAATAAACAAAGAATTTAACCATACCAATAGAAATAGATAAAATTAACATGGGACATGCTATATTTCAGTTATATTAATGTCGCATACGAGGTAAAAGCTATTTTATAATGTTTAGGCCGTCTTCAAAATAAACTAAATTACCAAATTAATGCGCGATTTTAAACATTAACTAATTTAAAATCTTATAAATAATTGAATAAATAAATCATTTGGAATATATTAAATACATTTGAACCAATTAATTAAAAAAAAACAGTAAAAATAAATACGCCGTGTAACACATCAGCTTAATAAAGAATAAATAAATGATATACGCATAGTAAATAAACTTACTTATGATAGGCCACTAATGACATTAAAGTTAGTTAATTATTATGCCAACATAACTCTGAATCACCATTTGTATTTTACAAATAAAACGATAGTGGTACCAATATGTATAATACAAGCTTGTCACTAACAATGGCCGATGTCGGCAATGGAAACCCACTGTTATATAGCATTGTAACTGTCAGAATAGTGGACACTTTCTTATCCATTCAGAAGATTCATAACGATAAGTTAACCGGTTATCGTCGATAAGACGATAAGCAAACATTGATTACACGTGCTAAAAACATCGAATTACATTTATTTTGCTGCTATTCGCGACTAGAAAAAAACGAATTAAATCGGAACGTCACAACTAAAGTACACCGTACACGATTGTTTCCTACACTAAATACTCTTTGGTAATATTCACTGGGTTATCTAAGAGCTAAACATAAATACAAATACGTAATAAACTGCCATTGCATATCACACTTAATCACTATTGTAATACGGATTAGAATCGCTTGGATTCGATGCGATGGTTTGTCAAAGCTGATGGTTGCTATGAGCTGCCAAATTACCGGGTTAGTTAGCAATTGTTCCTTTCGGGTTGCTGAGCGCCGCGGGTCGGTTTAGAGTAGGACAGCTGGCAGCGGCGTGGCGAGCGCCATGTGCTCGGCGCCGCGCACAGGCAGGCGTTGCGCGGCGACGTAGTGACGCAGTAAGGCCGGCACGCTGGGGAAGGCGGTGGCCGCGCCGCCCAGCGTGTAGCCCTCCGCACCCCGGCAGATGCGCATATGCATGAACCCACGAGTCGACCTGGAGAAAATACTACTTTATAAAAACTCTACCAGAACATTGTCTTAACCCTTTACATGCCATCCATTTTAAGACCAGGCAAATCGGTGACTCTGAATACTTTAATATATGCTAATATTATAAGGTGGAAAGATTTGTACTTTTTTTGTTTATAACACAAGGTGGCAAACGAGCAAGCGGCCACCTGAAACCGCCAAAATGGCGAAGCGACCGCTGCCCATAGACATCCGCAATTGCAGATGCGTTGCCTACCCTTATACGACGGAGGAGGAGACGCACATAAAGAGAATATTTCCCCTTCCTATGCATCTCCTCCACCGTCAAATCCACTTCCTCTTCCCAACCTCTCCTTAAAAGAACTTACTTGTGTATGTATTGACATAACTCCAAAACTACTGAGCCGATTTAAAAAAATATTTCACCATTAAAAAGCTACTTTATCAGTGAGTAACATTGGCTGTATTTTTTTTTTAATATCACGAGGCGATGTCGCAAGTAACAGCTAGTGAATAATATAACAGTACAGTAAAAATCTCAATGACTTTCATAACTGTGTATTTATCTAATGAAAATATTCCAATCAGTATTTATGGCCTTTAAAATGCTATCTTACTTATCTTATCAATGCTCAGCTAAACTTACTTTAAACTCAGAGAATAATCGTGTTTTGCAGATTCACTGTTCCTAACGAGGAAGGCGCCTTCGTTGGCGTCTCTCAGCAAACCTTCGGCTTCCACGCGGGTAAGAGTACCATGGTACCACCTGAAAAACAACAATATTATACTTAAGATTTTCTATAAGACATTTTATGATAAGAATTAAATCAATAAATTATTAATTTCATCAAGAAAGTCGTCTATTACAAGTTTAAATTAACAAGATTTAAAAACATAAAAACGACAATATGTATCATAATTTCAAAAAGACACCACTATTAATCGAATCAAGAGCGTTATCACTGCATATGAGTTAACTATATTTTATCAGAGTTTGATAAAACTATAGCAATATTAGTTTCGTAATCACATTATTGTAGAGACTAATTTAATCCATGTGTAAAAATTTGGCATTGAAAAGTTTGCTTACCCTTGCCGGTCGAGTGGTAGCGACGCGTCGATAAGGTCCCGCGGCGGGGCGATAGGGCCCAGGTTCAGATGCAGCCCCTTGCCGCCAGATTCACCGCTACCATCGAAGTTTAAAGTCAACTTTGCTCTGTGCTTGTTACCTGTAATAAAAGCAAATTTATTTGTTAGTAATTTATACAAAAAAGGATGGATCCTGCCACCCTTTATTTTCAACATTTCATTCACTAGGGGTAAAAAAATCAAACATTATCTACACTTTTAAGAAGTAAATTATAATATTTTTAGTAAATTTTTGTTTGAATTTAGTAAAAAAATGTACCCTATTGGACGTCAAACATTGTTTCATTGGCAGCTTTACAAATGATTTGGGACATACCTAATCTTGAGATAAAAGCACTCAAGTAAATTAAATATCAGAATCCTATCAAGTCGAGTTTTCGTGCGGTATAATCTATATTCTTACATCTTAATCCGAATAACAATGAAAGTATATTTGACGGGATAAAAGGGACAATGGAATTGACTGGACACGCATCGCCCTTACTTACAGGAAACTTATGTGAAAAGTTTCATTTTCAGAAAGCCTTTTCTATTGTGTCAAGATAAAACCGGTTTACGTATTCAAACATTTGTAATACAATTTAGATAAGATGTTACTAAGATTCGAATGATAAATTAAAATTAATGATACGAGTAAATTTAGACATAATTTAAATTAAGATCCGTGATATAATTTTTTTTTTTTTATAACATAAGGTGGCAAACGAGCAAGCGGCCACCTGAAACCGCCAAAATGGCGAAGCGACCGCTGCCCATAGACATCCGCAAATGCAGATGCGTTGCCTACCCTTATATGACGGAGGAGGAGACGCACACAAAATCCCCTTCCTATGCATCTCCTCCGCCGTCAAATCCACTTCCTCTTCCCAACCTCTTCTTATAAGAAAAGGGTGGTAAAGGGAAATGGACTTAAATTAGGCCTCCGGCACCACACTCATCAGACGAAACACGGAATTGCTTCCATTTCACGCCTGTCTTCTGTGTGGTCGTGGTATTACACTGGGCGTGCCGGCCCATTCGTGCTAAGATGTTAAAGCGGGCACTACCACTGTAATTGATAATCTTCTTTTTTGATCAACTTTTTACTATTTAACTTTTAACTAAACATTTGGAATAACGAGATAAAACACTAACCTTGATTTAAATCCTGAACGCTCTGACTGGATGAAGCATTAGAAATGGATTCCCCGAAGTCATTGTTAAGCTGCAGGGACTGTCCGCGCAGCTTGCGACGCAGCTTCGGCATATCGAAGGGCAACGTCCTAAGGTCGACCTCGGCCTCGGCGCGCCGCCGCCGCAGCTTGGGCATGTCGAACGGCAAGTCCGATAGATCCACGTCATCGTTCTTTTTCTCCTCTTCCACGCTACTACTGTTCTTGAAATTAATAAAAGCATTTCGGGAATCAACGCCTTCCCGCGAATGTATCGATATCCCGCTGTCAGATCCCTGGATCTCCGTATCTCCCGCAACCGAATGTCGGAAGGAGAGATTCAATAAATTCTTATTCTGTAACGCACGGCGTTTAATTTTCGGAGCGATGTCGGTAGTCATAACAGACGCATTGCCCGTCTCCAAGTCTTCGGGCGACACTTTCTGAGAATTGTTGTTTTTGTTATTGTCCGAAGTCTCCGATCCGGGCTCTTGCGATGATTTATCCGAGATAGGGCTTAGAATGTGTAGCTTGGTCGGGTGATGCCCAAACCCCGAGAGCTGCATGTGATGCAGCGACTTGGTGAAGGGGACGTTTCCCGAGTCAGAGCTGTGCGAGCTGAGCGAGGAGGAGTGGCGGCTCTCGGTGCTAGTTGTGCTGCGGTCGCCCTCGCTATTGCTGCTGCGCAAGGACTCCATGCTGCCGCCACTGCTGCTGGTGGCCATGCTCTCAGTGCTGGAGTACTTCCTCCTCGGACGGGCTACGCTCGGCCTTCCTTTGAACTCCATTATAGGGCCGACCCCCTTTGGCCCCGTGTACCGATTCGACTTTGGCATGTCAGAATCGGAAGTGGGTCGACCCTTAATCTCTAAAAAAATACCGTCTTTTGATTTCGCCCTCTCATCGTCGCCCTCCCGCGACTCGCGGCTGGAGTCTCTCAGCCGTTGTCCGATGTCGAGATCCGTGGAGCCCGAGCACTTTACGTCGGCCATGCTCACGTCACTGCTGGGCGGTGTATCGCGCCCGCGCAGCGACTTCACTGGCAGCCTCAGGTCCTTCAGTCGTGGATGCGCCGGTTGCGACTGTGGCAAGTTAGGGGCACTTTTTATACTGTTCATCGCAGATCCGTCTTTTTGTTGAAATTTAGTAGGCAGTGGTGCCGTAGACGGAGGTGATGGAGTATATCCGCGTAGGGGGAGTTGTGAAGTGGATGTGTTCCGACCATCCTCCTCGATGTGGACCTTCTCCAGTTCCTCGGACAGGGCACTCGCGTTATTCTCGTTTTCTATCTTTTGACGTATGGTCGGTATTTTAGAGCGACGAACGCTGTCCGTCTTCATGGTGACCTTGCGCCGACCCTTGTAGTCGGGTTCGCCGCGCTCGACCGCCTCGAAAGCGGAGGAGGCGGAGGAGATAACTTTGCGCTCCTCCGCCTGCAGCAGCGCCGGGTGATTGCTGACGCGGTCAAAGTCGTCGAGGTCATCGTCGGAGCGCGCGACTTTACAGTCGAATGCCGTTTCGTATATCTGTCGCGCGGTCATCTCTTGCGGCCAGCGCGGCAACGGCGCCGGTACGTAGAACACGCTGCGTGAGGCCCGCTCCTCTACATGTTCGGACGCGGCGCACGCGCAGCCGGCCGCGTCGCGCCCGCGCCGCCGCGGCGGCATCCACGCGCCCTCACCCGACGATGAAGACGAGCGATCTAGTTCGCGGAACCCATCCTCAGCCACCGAAAAACGCTTGGGTAATGTCGGGCGGGGAGCGACGTGTGGTGCGTCTAGACTGGCCGACTTTCTGTATCGAGAACCTCGAGACGATGCTGTTGTGGGCGCCGAAGGGGCCGGTGGTGGAGCCGCTGTCTTGAACAGATCGCCGTAGTAGTATGGGCTGGGATTCCTCCGGGGAGCGTTTGCGTAGCGCGGATCCGAGCGGCCGCTGTCGGGCGAATGCAAGGACGGTGCGGTCGCGAATGGATCGAACTCTCCAAATTCCTCTTCGTCGTCTGTTGTCGTAGATCGATCACCCGAAGATGATTCTATAAAGAAATAAATAAATAAGGTAAAATGTAATGGCTTCACTAAACTTCTTCAACCTTTATACAAAACATTAAGTTGACAAAGTAAATGCATATTTCGACAAGCAGAGTCTGAGAAACGCCCTAAACCGTCTCAAGTGGTGTTCTTTAAATGAGCGTCCGGATTCTACTCTAACAGGCTTTTATGAAAATATTTAACAATATAACAAGAACTACTTAGACATGCTGGAGAAGACCAAATGTAATTTCCATTCAGCAATATTGCATCAGATATTTTTCACAACAGACATGTAATTGTATTACGTATTACTAAAGGGACGTCATATTTTTTTAATAGATGGAATAACAATTTTGGTGATAAAACTGGAAAACAAAATACTGCCGTTATTTGTTTAACTAAAAAGGCAATAAGCAAAACATTACATAATGGAAACGTTTCAAAAAATTAAAAATAAACATCTTACAAGCACACTGTAAATGAATGCGTTAATTCCCCCTTTACACACACATACGCTAATGTTATTTCAAAGGAATATAGAAATACCCTAATGAGAAATTCTAGATGCACGCAACAAAGGCGTGCTTGTGAATGCATGTTCGAGTACAAAGTCTGGATTTAAGCCCTCGAGCCGAGATAAACGCTCGCACGATAGTTTATAAAACTCCTTGTAATTAAAAAAAATCTAAACTTATAACTAAGAAGTTTGAGCGATCTTTTTGAGATTTTAAGATTGAAATATCATACACCAAACATTGTTGACCTTAGGTCTCTTTTCTAATAGCCAAAGGTTTTAACCGACTTCCAAAAGGAAGTGGTTCGCAATTCGTCGATATTTTTTTAACAATTTTCTATTCATCAATTCGGTGATTTTCATTTTATTTGCTTAAACGTCTACACGCGCTGTTCCTATCGTCTATTAGCGATGTGAGGGGTGCCTAAGTGATGTCATTAAGCGCTGTAATTACTTTTCCGCGTGGATGACCACGATGGTGACGTGAGTTGAATTTGTTAAATTGTTTCAATCTACACTTGTAATGTCTTTTATACGACGGGTTTATATTTGAATTTGCACTGTTAAAACTTTTACGTTAAACATTTCTAAGTTATCGTCTCAATCAGCAATAATCAAACACATCAAACATTTGAAAGATTTTAATTTATATAAACTACGAGCTGTTGCCCGCGACTTCGTACGCGTGGTATTAGAAAACATACAAACTATAAAAATTACAAAAAGCTACGTATCCCTCGGAAACCGGACATTTCTCGGGGATGAAGCTTATCCCATGTGTACTCCAGACTTTGTTTTATATCTGTGCCAAATTTCAATAAGATATGTTGAACTGTTGCAGAATGATCGAATAAACATTAAAAAAACTAAATTAATGAATCCCACGGGAACCGTAACTATTCCAGGGATAAAAAGTAGCCTATGTGTTCTTCCAGACTATGCTCTAAACCTGTGCCAAATTTTATGGAGATCCGTTCAGCCGTTTAGGCTACAAACGCTAACAAACATCCATCCATCCATCTAAACTTTCGCATTTATAATATTAGTAACATAGTAAGATAAGAAGTAAGATGGTTAGACATTGATACTAATTAAAATTCCCGGTTCCTCTCTCGTGTACTTCGATTTAGGTACTGACTAGTTTTAGACCCGTCGTCAATCATTTTACTAACTAAATTCCGCAATTACATAAATTCTTAATAAAATATTAGTGTAGTTAGTGTAGATTTCTTAATCCTACAGTAAGGATTTCCTTAGTGGTAATTTTACTCTGAGTAAAAGTAATTCAAATGATTATCCGATTAATTTATTTAAAAGGTTGTTGAGCAAAAAACCGATGCTCTTCAGTGCACTATCGTTGTACCATCACTACGCCGGTATTTATTGCAGCCGAGACATTTTTTCCAGTCTAGACGGACGAACAAACGGGAAGGCCTGATTAAAAGTTTCCATTGTAAGCCCGGCTCCGGCCGCCGCGGCTTTTATTAGCAGCGGCCTAATTGTGGAAAGCCAATCAGCTTTTATCCCGACTGTACGTGCGTTAAGCTATCGCTCGTCGGATATCTTGTATGTATGTTATTCTTATTTATATTCAATCAAATATTTATTTGATTCTATTAAAATATTTTAATTATCATTTTGATATATTGTACATAGAATTAACCAACTTGGAAGTCTGGATAACTACATAAGCAGAGGAATCTAATAAAATGCAATGAATGAATGAAGAGAATCAATAACAGCTTCGGCTGTTTAGCGAAATTTTTTTTATATTATAAGGTGGCAAACGAGCAAGTAGCCACTTGAATCCGCCAAAATGGCGATGCGACCGCTGCCTATGGACATCCGCAATTGCAGATGCGTTGCCTACACTTATCCGACGGAAGAGGAGACACACATAAAGAGGATATTTCCCCTTCCTATGCATCTCCTCCACCGTAAAATCTACTTCCCCTTCCCATCCACTGTTCGTACGAAAAGGGTGGTGAAGAGAAAGGGACTTAAATTAGGCCTCCGGGAATAATTATTTGTATGTAATATTTTTTATGTAATTACTTAATAAATAAATGCTATACTTGAGTGGTTTACGTAAAACATATTGTTTATGAAATGGAGAGCCGATGAAAGCCCGAATTTTAGAAGCCGCGTACGAGATTCCAATAACTGATTTTTGAATATGAAGACTCCATCTCGTTTAGAATAATATGAAGTTATGAAGGGAAATTACAACAGAGGAACATAATTACACATATCCAACGTAGCTTAAGAAACGTTTGCGTTACATTTTAATAAAAGTGTAACAAACGGACTCGCTATGTAACCGTACACTACAGCTGGCCCGAACAATGCTCTAACAAGTCTCTACCACAATTGTGTTGCATGAAGAAAGAAACCTTTGTCCTGTACTCCTTGGAGACGTGCGGAGCTATAACGAAACTAGTTTATACGACTTATCTAAGACTAAGTGGCGTAATACGCAAAAAACACACACACAGAATCACGTTTGAATTTATGGCATCCTGGTAGACAGCAATCAGTGTCTTTTACGGCAGTACTGGCAGTTGTTAGTTAAGTGCCCTCTTTTAATGTATATCTATACTAATATTACAAAGAGGAAAGATTTGTATTTTTGTAGTTTTGTATGTATTGAAATAAATAAAAAACAACTGGACCGATTTTAATAATTCTTTCGCTGTTGGAAAGGTAATTTGTCTGTGAGCAACATAGGCTTTTTTTTTTATTTCACGCGGGCGAAGTCGCGAGCTATAACTAGTTTAGTATAAAAATCTACACTATTGATATTCCACAAGGACCAATTAACAGGAATATTGGTTTATGTGGAGTATACAAATAGTTATTTTAAAAGATATGATTTACATTAACTGCGTAAACGCGTAAACGTAGCAACTAAGTAGTTGCTAGATGTTGCAAGCTACTTGCACAAATATTTGTAGTTTGCTCATATTGTGCATAATTTATCGCTTTTACGAGTAGTTTTGCGTAATCAATATCATAATCATTGAAAACATTTCATGTTTAATTTAATGTGAACAAATCACGATATGATTTATTTAGCATGCATTACTTCTTAAGATAGATCACGTACCGGATTCGTAGTATGGCTGTGAGCGATGGCACGACTGCCTGTCTTGTCTGAGGGGTGCGGAGGGTGCAGGCTCCGGCGGGGAGTCTACAGATCCCTCGGGCGCGCTCTCCGGGCTGCGCCTCGCACCAGGCGTGGACAGGTGAAAATCGGTTCGTCGCGCCGATTCGTAGTCAGCGCGTCGTCGTGCCGATTCCGCGTCGTAAGCCGGCCGTCGGGCCGAATCGTCGTTATACTCGCGGTAGTGTCTGCCCGAGCCGTAGTCGTACGGTCTCCGGCTAGACTCGAAGTCGTGCTGCCGGCGGGTCTCGTGTCGCCATTGAGTGGCGTCTGGTGACCGGCGCGGCTCCCGCGACCGCCTGCCGCGCGGTGGCGACCGACGAGCTGTGTCTTTTGGTGTGCAATATGCCTCTAAGAATTCAACCTGCAACAATAAAATAATCCGATTAAAAACACCGTTAGGTTTCCAGCTAAGAATTAAATTGTAGAAACATTACGATCATCAACTATTATGTAGATTGTGAGATTATGTAATAAAAATTGTCAGGAAATAAAATTCAAATAAAAATATCTTCTAACAGGGAAAGGAGTCACCGCGGGCTATTCTCAAAAAGAAGCCCTTCATCATGAAGGTCGATTATGTGGCGGAGTAAAGTGGTAATAAAATGCAGCGGTCACATATCCGGCGAGCGTAACGGCCGGTTAGTCGGCCCCTCACCATGCCCGGGCGTCATTACCGCGGCTCGGGTGTGTTTATGTAGCCGGATATAAAGAACATTATGAGATATCGCGCTTCACGATTGGACGACCTGATAACGTTTAACATTACTACGATTATTGTCATAAATACAAATTATTATTCGCGATTTTTGCATTTAATTATTTTTCAATATTGAAGCCTCCAAAGAAACAAATACAAACGCAATTTGTTAAATAAAGTACAAGTGAAAATTTTCTAGTTATGACCTAGTGTAATATTAAGTACATGTTTTTTTTCTTCTATTCTGTACAACTCCGTGTTCTGTTTTAGGATTCATTGAAAACCGGCGCTTCGGTGTACACTGCAGCACATGCCAAATGAATGCACATGCCTTTTCTTTTTTGAATGAACGAATTTCTTTCTTTCAATTAAAAAAAAAACGATTAAATAAAAGCTAAGAATCTAGCAAATTACCACAATTTTAATTACCTAATGGGTAAAACTTAAGTCGATAAATAAATTATTTTCACACTAGACTCCACGTGTCAGAATTGAGGAAAGTCGTGATATATTTTGACATCAATTTAAGCATTAATTGTTCATGAACTCTAGTCGTTATTGTGTAATGACGTTTTTATAATTACTCACTTTAATAAATAAATAATTAAAAAGTTACTCATGCGAAATACGTAATTAAAAGTTGATACAAAAGTATTTGTTCAAATGAATAAAATAAAAACACTTAATACATCAATTAAGACATTTATGTTTGTTTCAGTAATTTGGAATGATTTTCAAACTGATTACAATATTTTTTGTATATCTATCATCGTTAGCGTATATATTTGCATAATAAAACGTCATGTCTACGGACCGGGCCCTCGCTTTGATTTGCGACGTCTGCCATACTCGGCCGCCATTTGCATATTTTTCTGAACGCTTAATTAAAACTCAAACGATGCTTGTGGAGGGCTAAATGTTAACGTAAATATTTAATAATACAACTTTTTGATGAAAACAGATAAATCAAGAAATACAAACGATTTTACTGGTTAATTTCTCTAGACACTTTTACATCGACTGTCCAAATATCTTTATATCTACTGTCATATCTCTCATTAAAAAAACTGATTGCAGTGGTAATTGACGGTTACAAAGATTTATCATAACTTATGAACCTTTCGTTTATTTTTTGTTGTCAATATATTAGTAAAATGCTCTTTTTCACGTCCATTCTACCTACCGAAAAACCTTTCTATTATTATTTATTTTATAATTCACTATCTTTCGCCCGCGACTCCATCCGTGTGGAATTTAAAAAGAAACAATAAGTAGCCAATGTGTTCTTCCAGACTATCCTCTACATCTATGCCAAGTTCCTTTCAGCTGTTTAGGCTATAAATTAACAAACATCCATTCATCTAAACTTTCGCATTTATAATATTAGTAAGATAGTAATATAGGAAGTTTTACAACATTACTTCCTGCTCGATACACACGGATATTACTAAAGGTTATAAAACAATTTCCTCACCACTGGCGTGATATTAAAACGAAATACACATAGACATTATAAGTAGACTTATTTATTTATTAACTAGCTTTCGCCCGAGACTCCGTCCGCGTGGTATTGAAAAAAATGAATAGCCTATGTGTTCTTCCAGACTATTCTCTACATCTATGCCAATTTTCTTTGAAAACTGTTCAGACGTTTAGGCTACAAACTCTAACAAACATCCATCCATCTAAACTTTCGCTTAGTATGAAGTATTATAATTAACTATTCCTAAACATAAACTGCAAAAATCAATTTAATGTTAAAAATAATTAAACATTATCAAAAGAATATTATGACGTCACCATTTTTAAAATACGTTAAACTATCTATAAAAGATTAGCCTACCAAATAACGTAATTGTTAGTAAACCCTTTTGCAATCTATGAGCCAAGAAAACAACAAAATCATCACAAATACGATAGCTATATTGACGTCAATACTCACTAAAGATCATGGTTTTTATGATAACAATTTGGTTGATAATTTCTGATTATTTACAAATCAAAGGTGGTAAAATAGCAAAATACCCGATTGTCTCTTTGCTATCTAAAATATTCCTATTAATACTATAAATGTAAATTTGTAGATGGATAAAAAAAACATTTAATCTTATCACCACTGCAACACAATTTGGAATAAGAGAAAAAAAAACACAACAAAGTAATTAAAAAAGAATAAATAATGAATGTTATATTTGGATGGCTATTTGTTAAAGTTTATAATCTAAACTACTGAATAAATCTCGATGAAATTTGGCATAGATGTAGAGGATAGACTGGAAGAACATATAGAAGGCATTTTTGTTTTTTTTTATAATTCCACGCAGTCATGGGCGAAAGTTGTACTATAAAGTTCTATAAATAACAAATATTTTTAAGGCCGATCGCCTCAAATATGATAAAATGATTGATATTTCAATTATGACATAATTATCATGGTTAGATAAATTTAAGCACCTACTAGTTATTGCAACATATTTAATAAGAAAATGTTGGGAATGACTTGAATTTACTAGTTTTATCCACAGATAATCGAAAATAACAAGCTACGTGTAACATTAAAAAAATTTACAAGTCATTTGAGAGACAGTCCATTAAAATTTTACATTGTGATTATTCAAAACGTATCTTTTATCTACTAGCTGCTCGCGACTTCGTCCGCGTGAAATTAGGAAATAATAAAAATATACCGTATGTTACTCTAAGATAAATTACTTTTCTAAAAGTGAAAGAATTTTATAATCGGCCCATTATTTTATTCGAGTTATTTCAATACATACAAAAATACAAATATTTCTTCTTTATAATATTGGTATAGAAAGAGCAAAATAAATTTAAAGTATAAAATATATTTAGGACGTTAACATTTGGTCAATATGACACAAATGAACACACGGCCGATGTATTTTCGTGCGGAATCCCGGGGAGGAGTGTCGCCGTTATTAATATAACCCGAACGGTGAGTCAACAAGCCATCAGCTAGCAGTCAACAGTCAGTAGACTAGTCAGTGTCTCATGTCTGCAGGCGTATTGCCCCAAATCCCCAAGCGTTACTCATCGAAATCCCTCAAGAAAACAGTCTACGTTTCTTATCGCATGTTTTCAATCCGACAACTGATTTTGCAAAATGTGATATCTATCTAAAAGGCGTAAGATGTCAGCAATAACATCATATTTTTTAATAATTCTGTAATAAAAAGCCCTACACTTACGACACGCTTTAGGCTATATATTTTCACGGTAATTAACTAAGGGGATTTATAAATTGTAAAAAAACCTTCATGTGGGAAAGAGACCATACAAGCTAACATTATAGAAGCAAGGTTGCCATGGGAACGGTAATTGTTATCCAATGTCAAAAGACCTTAATTGTCATTTGTGCATTTGTATTTTGTAAAAAACAAAATATTTTTATATAATTTTTGCGGATGAAGTCGCACGGGAACAGCTCGTAAACAATAATACAAGAATAAACATATCCGTTTTTTAAATGATTCTCTCTATCTCTTGAAAATGTTCTCAAATCAACAGTGAACTGGCAGCTGACAAACGAGAGTTTTAAATTGTATAGACTCTATGGTAATTGTTAAGTTCCCGTTTCCCGCCAGGTGGTCTTGTTCTTTCATAGACAACCGTCCGTCTGGTCACGTTTCGCTAACAGTCACCAATAACGATTCCCTTTCGAGCAATTCATCCATTTTATTCTTTTCTCTTTCATTTTTAATCATAACTATTTTCCTTTTTGCATCGCTGTGTTTGCTTTGTTATTAGATCGATGCAATTGTATATCTCTCAATAATTGCATTCCGCATTATTTCCTTTACGTTTGAAAAACATCCTTATTTTAATTAACTTTTAATTATAACTATCATTGTATTAGAAACCGTGTGTTATAGTTGTATTATTGAGTTTCTAATATGAGAGGTGATACAAATGTATGTTTTAAATTGTTACCTACATGAACGCTTACTGATTCTTTTTGACCGACTTCCCAAAAGAAAGAGGTACTCAATTCGTCTGTATGTATTTTTTATTATTTTTGTCCGTCTTTTCCAATTAAGTCTTTGAAAAAGCAATAGAAAAACGTATGTACTACATATAATTAAGATAAAAGATTCCATTTCCGGATCTAGACTCTTAGATTGTTTCCAATGCGCTTCAATTTCCTTTGTATTTGTTTTAAATAAAAAATCTAAACAATAGTACAACAATTGGTAACTTAACAAAATAATCCCCAAGTAAACTATGAGTCACGCAACAAGGTACAAAGATTAAAAAAGCTGTCATCAAGTGTAAAGTCAAAACAAATGAGCTTAGTTACTAAATCGCCCGTACAAAAGCTTTAAAGATAACGATAGCTTTTAAGTAGATGCTTAACAATGTTGAATAATTGTCACGAAATAACTTCATTCCCTTTGAAAGCATTCTGCTTTTGTTTGGGGAGTCACAAGGGTTGGTGTCAATTAAAACAGATAAAACGCTTAGCTTTCACGCCTTGATACTAGATTAGAAAATTTTTGAAACAAACATTTAGACTTGTCCCACCACTGGCTGATAGAGGCTCAGATAGGTTAAAAATGATGTCAGATAACGGAACAAAAATCCGATATTTCCATCACATACTTTACACGTTATATTGTTATCAGGCAAATTACAATTTGGTGAGACAGGCCCTAAAGATACAATAAAACAGGTCGCTAATCATCAATGTAGGTATTGAAATATGTTATAGATAGTATAATACTTCATAAGAGAACTTATCGTTTACGCAAATAAACATATGTTTGTTTGAACAATTAATTCTAGATAGTTTGTCTATTGTATGCGACATAATACAGTTCAAACATTGGATTATAACCGTGAAATTCCACTGCCGGAACATTGTTAAGACATATTATTGTCTCTCTTTTCTTTAGAGAGTAGTGAAGAATGGCAATAATGTTGTGATACAACATCCAACATTGGGAACCAACATAAATTAATGCTGATCTGAAGTTTTCATTTATTTTGTTATTAACTAGTTTTTCTATACTATTAGGTACTGGAGTAAAATTTTAGTTACGAAGTTCGGAATCTCGTTTTATTATTTGCTTTAGAACTATCGAATAGTTAAAAGTAGCTCGGAAACTGCTATTAGTAACATATCTGTTAATGAATTTGGTACTACGAGAGACGAAATATCACAATGAATACATCAGACATCACTAGGATATAGTTACTAGAACTCAGTAACCATTAGGCTAAAAATAATATCGGCCTTTCATTGTAAATTAGATCTATGTACACATTGCTATAGCACAATTGGTTCTGTGCAAAGATCTACATGGTACGCAATTGAATGCCTAACTTTGCTTTCTAAACTTGTAACGAATTTACGTCGACCCGAGTTCGCGGAGGGTCTTAATCGATATCCATGATGCTAAGAGTAGAGGCAACATTTCTTTATTCCCATTTTAGTTTACCTAATATAAATCTACTAATACTGCCCAAATTGACCAGTCCTAACTGGTATGTTGGACAAATTTGATAATACTATTACAGCTTTTGACTCTAAACATGCTTTTTATCTTCGTTTTAGGTAAACAATTAGCTTCCAAGTGCAAATTACAGTTAGTGTGCAGTAAAAACCACACTAGCAAAAAAACTCCAGTATAGTTAATTATACACTTACCACATGCACAACCAAAATCCACTGAGCTAATTGTTTCACTTTAGCTATTAGTTTCTTGTTTGAAGGCATATTTCTAATCTTATATACAAAATAATTCACTTATACTATTCACAAAAACAGCTTAGAACGTTGCACAGCGACACGCACACACGTAATAAACTAGAAACTGGTCACTACACTTTCATCTATGCTTGTTTTGGACACTTAAAATATAGACTCAAAACACAATTTCACATCAACTCAATATATAATTTATAGCGTTTGGCAGTAACTCTGCGTTATGAACGCCTATAACGTTTTTGTAGTTCACTTGACGAGTCCAACTGTCGACTGACAACAAGCTCAAACACAATACGCGAATGTGTAAAACGGTGACTCATCGCCCCGCATACTGTTTATCGAGGCTTGAGTCATCGCGGCTGCGGTACCGACTCTTAAAGCGATTGCAGCGCTGTATTCGATAAGCTGCGATAGCACACGCTGTTATACACAGAAGTTTTAAAGCGCTCGACCGCTGCATCGGAAATATTCGACTCCATTAATACCTTGTGGACTCCGCACGTGTTCATAATGTTAAGCTATTTTTAATCCTATTCCATTACAGATAGAGTTCAATTGGGTTAAAATTATTCGAAAACGCAAACTATTGCGTTAAGAATTCGACTCGTTTTAGATTACGGCACTTGACTAGGCCGTTTTGAGGTCGTTTGTGCAGTAGACGCTAAAGTATTTCTAATTTTATTCCGCATGCACTTTAACTAAAAACATTTTGTATAAACCACCGTATAATTTTAATAATTTTGCAAGTAGGTACAATTTTAGCATTACTCGACATAATTAACTAACCGTACATTATTATTTTAATCTGTCACTAATGTTCTAGGTCAAGTTAGTATCTTTTATTAGATAAATGCATAAAAAAATAAGCAGTTTGTTCAACACTTGTGATTTAAAAAAATGTTTACACAAATTAATATACATTTACTTTTATTACAACTCTAATTTAACTAAAGACCCGATTTACTGTATTTATCGCTCTTCAAAAAACACAAAATTCAAAAGATTCACTAAACATGAACACACGACGAAGGGATCGATCGGTCTAACTGTCGCGGTAAACTTGTAATCGATAAACTCTTGTAAACTGTAGTAACTATATTCATAACGTTTCTATTTTCTTTATAAAGGCCAAGGTGAACTTAAAATATAAACAAAACAATGTTGGCTCGTAACAAATTGCGCGGAAAGCAGAAACAATTTGGTAGCATGAGTCAGTCGCTATCTTTCTCCCGGCGTCTGGGTCGCATATGGTACAAAATTACTCACGTGAAAATAATGACTCATTCAAGCAGGTGGTTGATATCATTTTAGATATTTTAATTTGGTATAATCTATTTGAAATTTAAAACGTAAAAGAACGTTAGTTCCTATTTACATTTCTAATGACCTTCTGTAACCTAAATGAAATTCACTTTCCGAAAAAATAAATTACTAACATTATAAATGCGAAAATGTCTTACAGTTTGTAGTCTGAACTACTGAACGGATCTCGATGAATTTGGCATAAGTGTAGAGGATAATCTGGAAGAACATATAGGCTAGTCAATTTTGTTCTTTTTAATTCCAAGCAAACAGAGTCGCGGGCGGAAGTTAGTATGGAAATAAATGAAACAAGTAAAATCCAAATTCAAATCTAACATCGACTGCTCTATTAAGGGTAAAGTTTATTTCAGTGGTGAAACAAAGGATTAATTATTTTAAAAGAGACACAATTTAAAAATTGTTTCTCCTGACGGTACATTGTTTCCAAGGAAACAGTATACAATGGCGTGTTTATGTCATTAAGTTTATAGCCTTTTTTATATGCAGGACTATGCGTCATTTGATTTTCCTTGCGCTTCCTCGCGTCACCGTGACGCGGCGCTAGTGAGGCACGCGCTCGCGAGGAATTTTTATTCTCTGACGCAAGAAATGACCCGGACTGAACCTTTGCATGTAGGATTTTTCCTCAGGCAAATTCATATGAATATATGTTCATATAATAATGTTTGTATTTAAAATGTCTATAAATAATATGGTTACAAATTGCAAATCAAAATTACAAATATCAAAGGAAGATAATGCTTCCTTCCTCCTAATATAAGTGCGAAAGTTTATACGGATGGATGTTGTTAGATTTTCTAGCCTAAACTGAACGGATCTCGATGAAATTTGGCTTAGATGTAGAGGATAGTCCTGAAGGCCATGTGGGCTGCTTTGTTTCTAAACAGTCGCAGGTGAAAGCTAATACGACACTAGCTAGGATACCAAATGTAGAGTTCATTAAAATTGAATTTAAATCTAACTTTTGTTCATATTATCATTATCGTATAAATATTTCATTGTTATTTCAAATTCTAAACATGAGGGGCTATTGCACATGGTACATATTGCATCATTTAAACAATGACACACCCCTTTTGCACATGATTAAGGACCATGACTCATCGAAGCATTACCGTGCAGTACTAACTGGGAACTCTTTGATGTAAACGATGGCCGATGGCATCTAACGCGATGGGTTCAATGCGGAACTAACACCAAAAACAAACATTAATGATTTATGAAAAACATCACACAGTTTAAGTACATTAATTTAAGATTGTTATTAGAAGTGGTAATATCAAACGAAATAAATAACGCCTAGTTGCTTTCACAATGGAATCCAGTAAACCTAAGTCCTTAAAACCGCTTGGGCTACCAACGAATTCCGATAAAAGTATTTTCATGTAACGTCGATTCAAGAACTTTTTACTGTGTTTTTTAAACCCGAAACATATGGATCTCGTAGTACACTTCACCCCGGCCAACTAATATTGCAAGATCTGAATTCTGCACCCAATGCACAGTTCAAACAATGACACACCCCTTTTGCAAGAGATAAGAGGGGTGACGCATAGCGCACCGGGGATGCAGTTAACGCCTGACTCACTTGGCTGACTCATTTGGTACAAATGACAGGATCGCTTGTTTGATATATCTGTAACTAAGAAATTGTGAATGTAGACCGTTTGTAATTTGCCTAGAAATATCGTAAAGAATGCATTCACAAAGATATTTCAATGCTTTGTAACAATTCATCGTTGAAAATTTCAGCACTGATTGCTATACTTTATTGTCTGCACTGTAACATCCTTTGAAATGTAACCAACTTCAAACCACACTGTTGAAGTCTCTTGAATGTTTTGTGGAACTATACAATTTTCCTAGACGTATAACAAATGGACGGCTTTGACGGTTTTCCGGTGACATATCGATGCGCTAATTCGAGCGCCTTGTCTCTATTGTAATTGAGGCTTTGTCGTAAATATGAATTAGCTTAATAAATATTCATTGTATTGTTCATTCATCAAATTACTAATCAATTTCTCTGAACTTTTGTGGATGAGTAATCAAATTATGTAAGATTCTTTAGTTATTATGATAATTATATTTTTCTTAGACTATTATCATAATTAACCTTTTGGAATCAGTTATGTTCGTATATAAACTTTTTTGAACTCAAAACCAATGACTGTATCAGAAGACATACTTTTTTACATTTTGTATACTTCAACAAGTTATATTACCATATTATAGATCATTTAAGAATGTTTTAAGGGGATGGTCTCTTTTAGTAAAACGAGAGGGGAATTTGAGCTAAGTTATAAGACTGCTTGGTATGAGTTTCTTCAAACGAAATTCTTTTTCATCGAATCTTTCATATGTAGAGTTTAATGCTTTGCTTTCAGATAAGATAAATACTCGACCTGAGATTATAGTGTGAATTTATCTTTAGAAAAATTTAGGTAAGTAAGTTCTCTAATACTGTTTTCATTTACTTGCCTCTTGAATTTTCTTTATTATAATATACGGTGACAAACGAGCAAGCGGCCACTTAAATTTTGCATAATTAGGAAACAATCGCCCATAGACATCCGCATTTGCAATTGCATTGCCTACCTATAACCAACAGAGGGGACGGACGGGTGAATATTTCCCTGACATGCATCTCATTCCCGACAAACCCACTTCCCCTTCCCATCCATTCCTTAAAAGAAAAGAATAGAGCTAAAATTAGGGCTCCAGCACAAAAACTGTTCCCACGAACTCCTTTGACGTATTGGAAACAATAAACAAAAACGTGTCTCTACTTTAAAAAAATACAAACAGCGTAGAGGGAAATTTATTTTTGTTCTAAAGCTTAACTAAATATAGTAACATCTAGTTGAGTCAGTACACTAAAAAGGACTGCAGTGGACTTGACGGGTGAACGAGTGACCGAGTTCGTTGTTCAGATTGTAATCGTGCGAGTTGAACGACTTGGTATGACTCACTCGATCGCAATACGCATGCGTGATATTCTGAAGGTGAACAACATCCTTATGTTTACTTCCACATACTTTATTTATTTACTTGTTAAACATGTACATAAAGAGCACTTAAGTTACTCGTACATTATGTCTACAATAGATGACTTGCGATTTTCACAGCGAAATTTTCACAGTCTTTTATTCCAATTTTATTAAAAACATTTTTGAATTCAGAACTTTAATTATTACTAAAAAAACAGGAAATCTAAAAATAAATAACAGTTTTTAATTCTCATTTAAAAAGTCATTTGTACCCTAATAACTTTTCATATATTTAACGCAATTACTAATTCCTACGATGTATTTTATGTATATTTGACTTACCAAAAGAAGGAGGTACTCAAGTCGTCTGTAGGCTTTTTTGTATTCAAATTATATCTCAAATTAAAACAATATCGATTGCAAATATTTCAAGTGACATCACTGGTTAAACACAAAAGAAAACAATGAAATTTATAGATCTGAAAGGAATATCGATTGAATACAATATGAATAAAAGACCATTATAAAAATTATCCATGCCGTACATCTGTATAAATTTACACGATATGAATCATCGTTTAATCGCATTTCACTGCTCATTTACGTCATTACCATGAACTCGGAAGGTCAAACTCGGCTATGATTGTACAATTTAATATTCAATCGTTTGTTATTACTTGTAAAGGATTTTCCCTTACGTACTATGCAATAAAACATTTCTATTGACCTTTCTGTGAGTAATTCATTTATTTTCATTTGTGACCCATGTGGTTTATGTCCTCCCTAAAATCTATACAATTATAATAAAGCGTAAACACACACTTCTTTGTTGCCTAAGATGTCAGTAATTACAGCATATTTTTGAATAATTCTTTATTTAATAAAAAGCCCTACACTTACGTAACGCTTTAGGCTATACATATATTTTCACGCCATTAAACTTAGGGGGTAAATATTTTGGATAAAAACCGTAATGTGGGATAGAGACCATAA